ACAGGTCTTATTGTTAGCTTCATATCTGTACCATCACCTATCTCGCAATGGCAATATTGGGATACCTTATATATGGACAAAACGTTCAATCCCAAGTAACATTAAATCTTCCTACGGAAAGGTTAGTGCAAAGGTTGCAATATACACCACTTGGCAGGTCCCATAGCCAAATATGCATTAACAGTGATGCCGATTTCGACTGCAATCGAAAGCCGCTTGCCGGCAAATTACCAAGACAGCAAGTCAATAAGTCTTATCATCAGATGGCTTTACTATTGCACTGTGGTTTTGGCCGCTGTGTTTCCATCTTTTCAGTCTGTGGCATCTCTCAGTGGAGCTTTTCTTATAGTGGTGGTTTCCTTTGTTCCCTGTGTTTGTTACTTGAAAATGTTTCAAGTTTACAAGAATTGGGTTTTGAGCTGCAGGCATTGTTGTCATAAACGTAATGGCGGTTTTGGTTGGAATTTTGGGTAATATTCATCTATTGCTCAAACTGTAAAGAATGTTTAGAGTTTGAATATTTTTGTCATTTTATCCGGATTTATATAAAACATTGACTAATCACATGCCATGGCCTGCCCGATATATATAGAATTTAAATACAGGTTTTGTTTTTGAAAATAAGGATACAATACAGAAGTGAATCAAAATATTCTCAAAATAAATTTCGGATATAATCCTCAAAGCTAGTGCAAATTTAGAAAAATGTTTAAAATTAGAATAGTTACTGTACAAATTTTGATATAAAACCATACATACAAATACTGTGTTTTATGTGATTGGATAATGTTAAAATAAAGATAATTTGAACAGTAGATGATATGTTAAACATGGAGGATTGATACATTTTGTAAGGAATAGTTTGTATATGTAACATTATTCTAAAATAAGTTTTCATAGATTTCTATAGTTTTAGATCTAAAAAATAGTTTTTAAATGTTTTTTTTTTCGGCACCCATTTCACCACTCATCACTTCTCCAACATCTACTCTCCAAAACCCCCCACCAACCTAACCTTGTTAGCCTGCCGGTTGCTGTCCACCTCTCCTAGTGATTTTTCATCTCAAAAGGCAAAAAAAATAAAAAATAAAAAATAATTTTTTTAATATATGCTTATATTATTAGAGGGTCCCAAAGTAACTCCTGCCTAGGGTCACAAATGTTCTAGAGACGGCCCTGAAATACCCTTGATGATGCCTCCACTTTTTGCAATTACATATATGCTCATGGATATTTTAAGATTTGACGGTTATATAAATGTAATTTGATAAAAAAAATATTTAATCAGTTTCTTAAAAAAATCCATAAAAATAATTAAAACAATTTATTAAAATCACTTGTATATCTTTTAACATTTTATTTGTAAACTATTTTTTTTTAATTTTTAAAAAATTGAAACATTATTTTTTAGGTAAATTAATAAATACGAAATAAAAAATTAAAATATTTTGTAAAGTAAAAGTATAAAACTTATAAAAAATAAAATATATTTTTTAAGAAATATATATATTTTGTAAATTGAAAAATAAAAAAAATTTATTATATTTTCACTTCCTTCCATCAATTTTTAGTTTTAAAGTTAACTGAGGGAAGGACAAAATAGACATTTTCATGTTATAACATAAAATTATAAATTAATTAGTTCAAAATAATAAAAAATACTTGAATTTTTTTAAAAAATAAAATATATTTAAGATTTAATAGAGATGGTCAAAACCACAATTCTTAGATTGCCAGATTGACGATCTCTTTTTATTTATTTTTAATTTACAAAAAGTAAATTTAAAAAAAATATATTTTAATTTTTTTTTTCAGTTTTTATATTTTTACTTAAAAGATATTTTAACTTTTGATTCTGTATTTATAAGTTTACAATATATATATAAAAGAATTACGTTTCCATTTTCAAAATTTTTAAGCTTACAAATAAAATGTTAAAAGAAATTGAAGTTTTTTAATAAATTATTTTATATTCTTTATGCATATTAAAAAAAAAGATAATTTTTATTATCAAATTACATAAATATAATGGTAAAATCTTAAAATATTTATGTGCATATATGTAATGGCAAAAGGTGGAGGCATCATCAAGGGTATTTTGACTAGTTAGTGGGGCAACTGTTGGTTTGTATGTTTTAGTGGATTGTAGTGTAAGTTTTTAGTCAATGAAAGAGTGCTTTAAGCATTTTCTTTAATATAATTAAAAAAATTATTTTCTTAATGGTATCGGGGCACCCAAAAAGCGAACCCATATTTGTATTGTTTACTTGCATAGCAAGATTATATACTTCTTGGTAAACATTAATGTTTGGTAAACCCAAAACATTCTAGATTTATCCATATATACTGTATATTTTGATAAACTTGTGCCTAGGATCTTGTCTTTAAATTTATTTTCAAGATTAACAAAACGTGCTTCATTGTGATTTAGAGGTGGCAAGATTTGATTGGCAATTAATTTTATTTGATAACTGTCTTCCAATATAATAGTAGAGTTGTTTTCTTCCAAACTCACTGCAGTTCCTTCCAAATCTTGGTTTCTCTTATTTATAATTATTTAATTTTTTTATATTTTCTGAGCATCGTGTTTTAAGAGAAGAGAAGGAGAGAAAGAAAATTAATGGCGGTTGGATCTCAAGGAAAGCAAGAAGTGAGCTTCCTCAAAACATGCATCAATGGCATTAATACACTTTCAGGTACCGGATTAAAATCTTGAATATTGATATTGATAGTTATAATATCGATAAGGTTATCAGGTAGTAATTTATACCATAGGAAAAATCTCAAAATGTGTTTACCTTTCATGATCTTGTTCCTAGTATTATTTGATTTTTGCAGTGTTTGGCTGAAATATTTTTCAAATTCTTAGAAGCACTTTATTAAGAACCACTTCACTTGACGTAGATACTTTTTCAAATAGTGTTTGATAATTAAGAAAAAAATATTTTATGTTAAACGAAACCAGCCTTAAATGCGTGATTGGGAGTGCATTAAACATGAAAAATGCTTTTGAATAAAATTGCTTTTCGTAAAAGCACTTAAAAGCCTGTTTTACAAAAGCATGCTTTTCAAAGAAACAATTTCAAGTATCTCGTATGTTGAATATTAAATAGTGATATTATATATCAATTCGATAAGTTATCAAATAATAATTTAGACGATAGAAAGTATGATCTTGTCCCTAGTTATTAGAACAAATGTGTTATACAGTGTTTTAAGTTGATTTTTGCAGAGTTTGGCTGAAATATTTTCCAAGTACCTAAAAGCACTTTATTAAGAATCACTTGATATAGATACTTGTTTGAAAAGTACTTGATAAATAAGAACAAATTTTGAAATTCTTGAGTTAAACAATAACAGCCTCAAATGCGTGATTGGTAGTGCATTAATCATGAAAGATGCATTTGAACAAAATTGCTTTTCGTAAAAGCACTTAATAGCCTGTTTTTCAAAAGCATGCTTCCCAAAGAAATTCTTCAAAGTACTTTGTCAATATGAAAACATATTTCTAAGTAAACATTTATCAAATGTTTTCCTAAATAACAATAAAAAGAAGAGAAAAGATAAATATTAGTGATAGAAAACAATGAAATCTATATATGAAAGTTCATGATAGCGAGAACCTTAAGTCTAGCTTTTAGGTTAGCACTGAGAGCCTGTTTGGTTGGACTTATCTATCGGTAGAGACGTAGTTAGTATTCTGAGTCAATGGATTCAAAACATCAAAATTGATAAATTTATAATTAAATATATACTGAAGTAATAAGCATAAAAAATGTAATCTTAAAAGTTATATATAACAAATTATCAATTCTACAATTGTCCTCGATGATTTTTTATATTCTGAAAACTTTGCATAATTGTTTCATTGATAATTCTATCGAATATCTCTCTCTTAGTATATGTAATAAGACAATAATTTAACAATTGATTTCCCATTCGATTATGTAGTCGATTTTTCACAATTTTCATTGCAGAAAATGTTCTTTTAACCCTTACAGTTGTAACAGATAATATCAATACTAATTTCATAAGTAAATAAACCAAGTGATATGCCACGTTCTTCTTTATTTGAACCAACTTTTCAGCAAGAGTAGCAATTCCATTTAATGTCAAAAAATCATTATTAGAGCACATATAAAAAATATAAGTATCCAACCACTACAACAAAATTGTTCTACTTTAACATGCGAAAAGTGCCACCGTAGATAAAAGGTAGCATTTTTGAGCATGTTGTTACAGCCTGTGTTTCTAAAAAATGAGGCTTTGGTAACATTTTTTGCATATTATTAATAATTATTTAAATTTTATTGTTGAGTATATTATAGCACTTGTTTGTAGTTACAGATGATTGTAGCTAATCCTTCGTAAATGCTATAAATTAGTTTTTCATAACGTTTTTAAACTGTTAGATCTTACTTTTTTTGTAACATTCTGAAAATATTACATTTTTAAAATGTTGTAGATAATTTTTTCATAACATTGTTAAAATGCTATAGAATAATTATCAATAAAAATATAATATGAGAAAATGAGAAGAAATGAGAAGAGAGAAAAGTTTAAAATGTGTTAATTAATAATTCATTTTGTAGGGTTAACATGAAGTTAAATTGGGTTAAAATGGTAAAATCTATAAAACATTAATACATTTTTGAAATTTTTGAAAAGTTGAGTAGGTTCAATTGAACCAACAACTCATTATGTGGCTACGTGCTTGTCTACCGAGCTAAAATAATTTATTTAAAATCATAAACAATTTTGGATTTTAAATAAACTATTTTACTTGAGTTGATTTAAAGTATTGAAATTTAAAAAATATCCCTATTCTATTTTATAAATTAGACTTGATATATATATATATATATATTTTTTTTTTTTTTTCAGGAATTGGAATATTATCAGTCCCTTATGCACTCTCATCAGGAGGCTGGTTAAGCTTGATAATTCTTATTCTAATAGCAGCTGCGGCCTGCTTCACTGGAATTCTCATCAGGAGATGTATGGATAAAGATCCTGAAAATATCAAAAGCTACATTGACATTGCAGCTTATGCATTTGGCCACAAAGGGAGAATTATTGCTTCTCTTTTCACTTGTTTAGAGCTTTACTTTGTTGCCACAGGCCTTTTAATTTTGGAAGGAGACAATTTACACAAGCTGTCGCCACACTTTGCCTTGAAGATTGGGGGACTTACTGTGGACGGGAGGCATGCTTTTGTTGTTCTTTCAGGTTTCATGATCTTGCCCTCTATGTGTTTGAATGATCTGAGTGTTTTGTCTTATGTTTCTGCTGGTGGGGTGCTCTCTTCTTTGATTGTCGTTGTATGTGTTTTCTGCGTTGGTGCGACGAAGAGTGTTGGATTCCATGGCAAGGGAAGGCTCTTTAATTTGAATGGATTGCCAAATGCGGTTAGCTTGTACACTTTCTGCTATGGTGCTCATGCTACTTTCCCTCCTATCTACAATTCCATGAGAAAGAAGAAGCAGTTCCCCATGGTATGTCTTAACTTATTTTAACTGATTTTTTGCTGAGCAAATGTTTTTTTTTTTTTTTTTTTGGGTAATTAAGCTTTAAATAGAAAGAGAAAAAAAATGTATAAAGAAGCCTATAAAGACCGTCATCCTACCACAGGACAAACTACTGGGATATGATAAAAAACAAAAGTCTAACAAAGACAAAAGAACTACATACAAAACACTTTCTCTTAATGCACATCCTACCACAGGACAATCCTTGAGTTAGGACAAAAATGAAAGCCTATGCAAGACCATCTTCAAAACATACACAAGACAACTATCACCAAAACAAAACCCACCAACCAAAAATCACCCTTTAAAAATGCACATCACCTTATTAACAAATGTTTAATTTTATGCAACAACACCCATCACGAGGCTCTAGAGTTGTCAAGATGGATGAGGTAAGAGTGGAGATTCAATTAACATTCCACATAACCTTATTATATGGGGTGTTGCTAGACCTTATATGCAAGTGACTCTATCACCTCACACATCCCCTAATTGAACGTGTGATTCAATCTATAGGGCTTTTGGGTCTTTTTAACTAAATAGATGCGATTAGGTGAAAGACGTTTGCGTAAAGTTCAAGAACAAACTTATGCAGGTTTAAGCCCAAAGCATACGATATCTACTTGATAAGACTTGAGATTTAATAATTGGTATCCAAGCTACGTTTAATATGTTCGATATGAGATTTAATAATTAGTATCAAAGTCAAGTATATAAAGTCTTTACAGGCTTCTTAAAATGAAAACCGCGCAGACAAGGCCTAAAACATACTCTATCATACTATGTTACAGTGGGTTATTATAAATGTTTTTTTCTTATTGTAACAGTCCGAGCCCTTGGTGTAGATATTATTTACTTCAAGTTCCAAAACAAAAATCTTTTATCTAACTGCATAGATGTGGGTTTTAGGTTTCAAAGCGACCATTCTTTGCCAAGAGCGAAACTTCAGTTGAGGGGACTGAAGACCTTATGAACTAATTTAGGCTATTATTTGTTATAATTACGAGATGCGCGAATATAATGCGATGGCCAATCTCAAAAGGCTTTTTATTGCAAGATTACCGATCATTTTTCTCTATTTTTTCTCCTACAGGTCTTATTGTTAAGCTTCATAATCTGTACCATCACCTATCTCGCAATGGCAATATTGGGATACCTTATATATGGACAAAACGTTCAATCCCAAGTAACATTAAATCTTCCTACTGAAAAGGTTAGTGCAAAGGTTGCAATATACACCGTCTTGGCAGGTCCCATAGCCAAATATGCATTAACAGTGATGCCGATTTCGACTGCAATCGAAAGCCGCTTGCCGGCAAATTACCAAGACAGCAAGTCAATAAGTCTTATCATCAGAATGGCTTTACTATTAAGCACTGTGGTTTTGGCCGCTGTGTTTCCATCTTTTCAGTCTGTGGCATCTCTCAGTGGAGCTTTTCTTATAGTGGTGGTTTCCTTTTTGCTTCCTTGTGTTTGTTACTTGAAAATGTTTCAAGTTTACAAGAATTGGGGTTTTGAGCTAGCAGGCATTGTTGTCATAACGTTAATGGCGGTTTTGGTTGGAATTTTGGGTACATATTCATCTATTGCTCAAACTGTAAAGAATGTTTAGAGTTTGAATATTTTTGTTCATTTTATCCAGGATTTATATATAAACATGACTAATCTACATGCCAATGGCCTGCCCGATATATAAGAATTTAAATACAGGTTTTTGTTTTGAAATAAGGATACAATACAGAAGTGAATCAAAATATTCTCAAAAATAAATTTCGTATTAATCCTCAAAGCATTGCAATTTGAAAATGTTTAAAATTAGAATAATGTCATGTACAAATTTTGATATAAAACCATACATACAAACTACTGTGTTTTAATGTATTGGATAATGTTAAATAAAGATAATTTGAACAGTAGATGATATGTTAACAGGAGGATTGATCCATTTTGTAAGGAATAGTTTGTATATGTAACATTATTCTTAAAAATAAGTTTTCATAGATTTCTATAGTTTTAGATCTAAAAAATAGTTTTTAAATGTTTTTTTTTTCGGTAAGCATGGTAATTTTATAAGGAATAAAAATACATCCTAATATATGAATTTTCTGCATTATCACAAGATTTTATGTATTTATTTCATTTATTTGTTGACTTTTTTACTTTAGGAAATATCTTTTGTATAGGATCACGTTATAATAGGCTTGTAATTAGCAAAGATTTCATTCTCTCTTTTGTGTATATATCGTATTTTTCTTTTACCAAAGGAATATAGAAAAACATCAACCAATTCCCATTTCATTTCTTAGTTTTTGTTTAGTAATTTATTATGGTATCAGAGCAAATTTTTCTTTAAAGTTCTTTTTTTTCAAACACAATTTCCATTCCAATACTAAACTCTAGCAACACTTAACTCCAACAACAACAATTCCAATGTCCAAAGAAGACCGTCTCATTCCAAACACTCAAACTCCAGCAATATCCATTCAAATATGGACCCATCAAATCCATTCTTTGTTCATCATTCAGATCATCCTGCCTCATGCTTGTCTCGCAAAATTGAATGGCACCAACTATCAATCATGGAGTAAATCCATGATCCATTCCCTGACAACCAAGAACAAAATTGGTTTCATCAATGGTTCTGTCAGCCTCCATCAAGACAAAACAACCAACTGAGTTTGCTCTTTGGAATCAGTGCAATACATGATTTATCATGGCTCACTCACTCAATAGCACAGATTAAGCCAAAGGGGTCATTCATGCAAAGATAGCTTATCAAGTATGGGAAGATTTCAAAGATCATTTTTCACAAAAAAAATGCACCAGCCATCTATTCTTCAATCTTCAGAATCTAGCATCACTCTCACAAGGTAACATGTCTGTATCCTCATTACACAAGGCTTAAAGGCTTGGGATGAGCTAGACTCATATCGAACCATCCCTCATTGTGATCAATTTAAAGCACATATTGAGCAAAGAGAAGAAGATCGAATGATGCAATTTCTCATGGGCCTTAACGATGCCTATAACACTGTTCGTAGCACATCCTCATGATGCCGCCGCTGCCCAATGTGCGTCAAGCACACCCCCTTGTTATTCAAGAAGAAACATAGCGACAAATGACATTAGAAAGTACAAAGAACTTTTCCATTGCAGCAACAACTCAAAGCCGCAGAGCAATTATTTCAGCAAGCCCAAAGACAAACATTGTGAGCATTGTAATAGATGGCCATACAATTGACAACTATCGAACTCTGAAATTTTATTGCAATTTTGCAATAAGAGAGGTCACACTGAAGATAGGTGCAAATTAAAAAAATGGCACTTGGAATTCCAACAACTCACAACTCCAAGAATCAAAATAATCAATCTCAACACAACAACAACACAACAACATGGATCCATCCTTTTCATGCTGCCAATGCAACAGAGTCTTCGCGATCTATGCATGGAGTTAATTCTGAAGACAATAACTCGCTAAACGCAACACATGGATTTACTACTGATCAATTGCAACAACTTGCTCATGCTTTGTCTCAGATGACACAAATCACACCACTAGTAATGACAACGCATATGCAAATGCTGTAGGTCTGTTTTCTCTTCTTCTATGCTATTAATTCTGTTTTCACTGAGCCTTGGATATTGGATAGCGGAGCAACATACCATATTACCACAGATTCCACTTTTTTTCACCCACACAGACATATCACCACACACCATTGTAAATTACCTATCGGATCTTCAGCCTCTAAATGTCTAGGAACTATACCATTTAACTCTATATCATGTTAAATAAAGTTTTGTGTGTCCCATCCTTTCATTTAAATTTGATGTTTGTTAGTAAAATCACCACTGCCCTAAATTGTTTTGGCATTCTTTTCCCACTTTCTGTGTCTTGTAGGACTTGGCTACGGAAGATGATTGGCTCGGGTAACAATATGATGGTCTTTATTATATGTCTCCGTTGCAAAGGACACCTCCTCTCATCAAGTTTCTCAACCTTCAACCTATGGCACATGCGTCTTGGACATCCGTCTGCATCTCGACTAAAATTAGTATCATTGTTATTGTCTCCCAATATAAAGTTTCCTTTGATAATAATTGAAATGTTTGTCCTATGGCTAAACAAACTAGATTACCATTTCCTTCTAGTTTTATATCACTCATGCTCCATTTGATTTATTGCATTGTGATATTTGGGGTCCTCACAAAATTCCTACACATTCAGGGGCACGTTTCTTTCTCACTATTGTGGATGATTTTAAAAGGTGCACATGGTATTTCTCATGCAATTTAAATCAAAACTCAATAATTTACATCCTTCTTTACCTTTGTACATACTCAATTTCATGCTTCCGTTAAAGCCATCCGGTAGACAATGGCTCTGAATTTCTATCCACAAAATTATTTTCAATACACTGGTATAGATTATCAGTGTACTTGTGTCTATACTCCAAACAAAATGGATAGTTGAACGAAAGCATCGTCATATTCTACTGTTGCACGTGCTTTACCTTTTCAATCTAGACTTCCTCTATTTTTTGGGTGAATGCATTTGACAGCTGTATATCTCATTAATCGACTCCCTACACCATTGCTATCCAACAATCACCTTTCGAACTTTTGAACAATTGTTCACCATCACTCATCATTTAAAATTTTTGGTTGTTTATGTTATGAAACTGTTGTTCATGCCATTCATAAATTTGAACCACGTGTTAACATGCTTTTTATTGGGTACCCCACTGGTCAAAAGTTACAACTTATTTGTTGGAGACACAAAAATTTTTTGTTAGTCGAGATGTCAAATTTTGCAAAACCACATTTCCTTCGGTTTTTTCTCAACTTGATTCTGGTTATGTTTTACCAATTTTTTGCATGATGCCACCAATTTTTTGCAAGATGCCACAAACAGCTTGCTTTTTCCCTTTTGATTCTAACCTAGACACTTCACCTTTCCCTTCATCATCTCTTCATGATCAACCGCCAAGTCCTCGTCATGCTCATATTCCTTAAACAAAAACAACGAAACTCAAGGAATAGATTCTGAGCATTTACACATCTCAGTTGACTGAAACTTCACCAAAACAGCTCTTTCTTCCAATACGCCTAACCTTTCCCCTCCGTTCCATACAACTCACCAGCTTCCCCTAATCCCCCTATACGTCAATCCACTCGTCCAAAGCAACCTCTGACATGGCCAAGACTACATTTTGTCTGCTCAAGCCAATCATTCACCTCGACACCAATTTAGCATCACGTACTCGTATCCTCTTTCTCATTTTCTTTCATATTCTTGTTTATATTTTGCCTACTGTACCTTTCTAGCTAACATTACAGGTTATACCGAACCTCACTCTTATGATCAAGCTATTCTTGATCTACATTGGCAAAATGCGATGAAAGCTGAATTAATAGCATTAGAACATAATAACACTTGGAGTATGGTTCCTCTACCGTTTGGTCATAAACCCATTGGCTGCAAGTGGGTCTACAAAATCAAATATCGATTTGATGGCACTATTGAGCATCATAAGCTCGCCTTGTTGCTAAGGGATATACTTAAGTTGAAGGTATTGATTACCATAAACCTTCTCTCCCCAGCCAAGCTAATTACGCTCTGTTGCCTTCTTACTGTTGCTTTCACACGTCACTGGTTTCATCATCATTAGATGTCCAAATTGTTTTCTTCATGGTGATTTACAGAGGTAGCAATATAAACCTTCACCTGGTCTTCGTCGACAGGGAGAACCTTGTATGTCGGCTTAATAACTCCTCTATGGTCTCAACAAGCATCAAGAAACTGATTTTCTCTACCTTTTTTGCTGCCATTCAAAAGCTGGTTATCAGCAGTCATAAGCCGATTATTCCCTTTCACCAAGATAAAGGTACTTCTTCATGTAGTCCTTATCTGTGTTGATGATATACTCCTTACAGGCAGTGATCTTCAAGAAATGGAACATCTCAAGAGTTTCTCTTCAAACACTTTCGCATGAAAGATCTCGATGACTTAAAATATTTTTTCTAGGCATTGAATTTTCTTGATCAAAAAGGGAATTTTCATGGCTCAAAGGAAATATGCAGTAACATTTTACAAGATTCAGGACTTCTTGGTGCCCGTCCAAACAAGTTTCTGATGGAGCAAAATTTGAAGCTTACTCCTACAGATGGGGTTTTATTAAGTATCCAACTAAATAGAAGTTGGTTGGTAGATTGATTTATCTTACTGTGACAGGCCTGACAAAGTATACTCTGTTCGCACATTGAGTCAATTCATGCATGAACCCAAAAGCCCCATTGGGATGTAGCTTTACGGATTCTTAGTACATCAGGGTAATCCTGGTCAAGGTTTACTATTTTCTTCTACAAACAGTCTTACTCTTAAGGCATTTTGCGATTTAGATTGGGAGGGTGTTTTGCCATAAGAAGATCAGTTACAGGAATTGCATTTTTCTTGGAATTCTCTCATCTCATGGAAATCCAAGAAACAAGCCAATGTCTCTAGATCATCTGCAGAAGCAGAATACCGAGCCATGGCAAACACATTTTGGGTTGACATGGTTACATTACATATTGCAATTTAAAGGTTGCACAACCAACTCTCCACCT